GTAATAAGATCAAACTGGGTGAAATGGCTGTTTCGTACACTAGATGCTCTCCTTCTCAAGCATGCAATAAAGGATATAGACTAAGATGGTTTAATTTGCAAAAAATTTCCCTTAGGCCTGCCAGTGACATTTTATTTTCAGCATCTTCTAAAGCTTCAGGACAAGCTATGTGTCTCCGAGCAACAATCAGGTATGTGCACAAGAAGGATGCACCGGGATGATGACTGTTTCAGAAAACTGAAAAGTGCACAGTAAGGCAAAAAAGTTGTACATTGTAACTGTGTGAACAAGAGAGCTCACACACCTAGGAAATAGTGCAAACTGGGCTACTGGAAAAATTCCTTGTCATTAGAATTGGGGCTTAATTCCTATGGCACACTGAGCAAAGGCAAATGCGAGTGAGTGAGGCCCAGCCTTCGCTGTCTTGTACAAGGGAAAGATGAGCCCACTTCGATTTCCTTTCCCATATAATGAATCACTTCTTTCCACACAATGACGTTTTCCCGAAGATACACTTTTTCTCATCTCTGCTAACCTTGACTGTCCACCTTCCAAAGCAGAGACAGTCTCCTAGGTTAGGGCCACATGCGTCATTCTGGCTACAGCTGTGCGGGAGGTGAACAAGGTCAATTCAAGCTGCTTGTCAACTCTCCTCACTCCACTGCCAAAGGTTACTAGCCCCTCAGGTCTCCCGGCAGAGCTACTCTAGGAGCTGTGTCTATCCTGGCACCATCAGAATGATCCTGGTTAGAAAGTCTATTCTTCTGAGCATTGAAGCTAACAGGTTATTATGAAGGACCGGAGTCTGGACAGAATGCATGTACCAGCAGATACAAGGAAGGAGGAGCCCCTGGAGATGATGGAAGGGAGTGGTTAAAAGTAGGTGGTGCTAGGGCTATTGCAGATACTGGAGAATATTGCAGATACTGCAGAAATGAGGACAAGAAGAAGAAAGCAACTCCCAGAATCTCACAGGGAGTCTGCAGTTTAGCTAGGAATCTGATCTAGATTCCCTCTGTACCAATGCTTCCCTCAGAACAGCATAAACATGCTTCTGCTTGACCTCAATCCAGGCCACAAAGCTCATCTGCACCCAAAATATATAATTATTTAAAACCGCAGCAGCCACAGCCACCAGCAGCATCAAATGAAAGTGACTTTGCAAGAAGAAAATGCATCAGCAGTCAATTGACACGACATGCCGCTTGCTCACCGTGGCAGCGAAATGATGGAGGTTCCAGAAACTCCCCTGCTGCCAGCACCCATTCATCTTAATCAACACCTCTGGCCACACCACGCTTCATCTGAACCATGAGTGCCTTCCTTCCCCAAATGTAATTTCATTTTTGTACCTTTTCTTGAGAGTTGTCAGTCCCCAGACATGTCTTTTTTTTTTTTTTTTTTGGTAATGAACCAGAAAGCAATCACATGCAACTACGCTCAGAGCCCTGACGAACACAAGATGTAACACAGTGTACTAGATCGGATCCAAGCCATTTGTTTTATCACATCACACCTTGCAGGTCCTTAGTCTCTTCTGCCCTGTTTGTCCTCAACCTTTCGTTCCACAGCCTGAGCAGAAGCCCTACACATGTGATCAAAGGCAAACCACCAGCTTCTGATCCCCCACACTGCTGTGACTTGTGTCAAATTACAGCTAGAGTGATTTGGTAATCCAAATCAATGCAATAATCTGATCTGTGGGGAGCAGCTCTCTAACACTTCTGTGCTGAGTGGCCACAATGGTACAAGCACTGTCAGCTTTTCCCAAGCAGCTTTTTGACCTACTGAAACCTGCATGCATATATTGAGCAACTGATGATACACGCAAAAGTCTGACAGAGTCAGGCTGTTAAAAGGCACAAAATACGTACTTTTAGATCCCAAGAAAATGCTCCAATTAATTTCCATTTTTGAACAAGAGTACATTGAATATGGCTATTATTAAAGGTTACTGCTATGTAGCATGGACTTCGTGTATTTGAAAAACATTTTAATGAACAGAAAGAAAAATATTTATATTGGTGATTAACATTCAGATTATAAGAAAGGATGAGGGGAGTATCTAGAGGTTGAGAGTTCTATCTCAGTTAAACACATAAAGGATGGACATCTACTCAGGCCTTCTGAGGCTGCAGGATTCAATTTGTGTAATTAAACGGTCTCAAAACACCTGGTCTGTCTTGGTTCAGTTCAGTCGGGCTGAAAAGTACTGCACGGCCTTGCATGCAGAAAATCTGGCACGTTTTAAACATCCATTGAGATTTCTTACATCAACAGCAATGGAAGACAGGCTAAAAGTTTTATCTCAAATATGACATGAATAAACCATGTGATTAATTAACTATGACTCTTTAGAAATAGACAGGTGCAGAAGGTCTGCTAATTTGGTTTTATAGCATATCTGAAAAATAAACCAGAACAGAAAGAAAGAAAAACTGTCTTATTAACTGCCATCACCTGAGATCTTACGGTAGCACCAAAGATTATTTACCAATATTCTCATTTGAAGGGTCACTAACCCTTTAAAAAGCAATGCTGGTATGTAATAGAAGCATGCACAGTATTGAGCTTCAGAAAGCTCAATGTAAGATACCAGATAAAAGCTGGATACAGACTTCCTTTTAAACAAAAAAACCAAGCTTGCCTCTAGTCTCTTATATTCAGAGTCACAGTTGAAAAATATAAACTGAGGGAGAATTATTCTACCAGAACTGAAGATGGGACATCCAAGTGGGGTGTGTGTATGTATATGTTAAAAGGTAAAGAAGAAAAAAAAAAAAAAAAAAGGAAAAAAAAGGAAGAAAGGTCCCTAAGAAGTGCTTGATACCAGAGCAAAAATCTGTTTCTAAAACATTGTCCATATCCTCTCTTTAGAAGAGAGAAAGAAAAGATTGAGAAAAAAAAAAATCCATCTTTCCACCTCTGCTGCCCCTCTCCCATACCCCTCATTCTCCCAGTCTGTATACTTCTCACTGGCCTATTTCTTGGGATACGACAACTGCCAACACATTAATGGGATAAAGTAGTGGGTAATGGCCCAGTAATATTACTCCAGTCTTTCTCTTTGGTGCAAATTACAGCGCAGTGGCAACTGACAATTTCTCTTCACTGAAGTCCCCCACCTATTGCATTATACCTCCTGATTCATATTATTACTTCAAAATGTATTTCAGCCAGCAAGCCTCAACTTCATGACTCTCTCTACAATATCAGTTCTGGGTTGTAGAATTTCTCTCCTTGTTCCAAGCTGAACCAATGCCAGCTGAAACCAACAGTGCTCAGCAAGAAGAAATGCTTAAAGAGCTGACAAGACCTTGTCATCACTCTCCTACTGATGACACAGACAGTTACCCAGCAAAGCAGTGCAAAACCAGTGACCCCTGCTCAGCTGAAAATATTTCCTTCACATTTAGCTTCCTAGAGACCATGTCCTTTCCTCTGACCCTATCCACAGTAACCTATGCCTCTGTCATCTTCATCTTGGCTCACTATACCTGACTTTATCTGAAGCTGAACATGAACACACAACTTAGAGAAGCCAGACACCCAGCCCTCTCTTTGGCTCACTTTCAACATCAGACCGTGTAATTCTGACAATCTGTGCCTTTCCCCAAAAACCTAATCTACTGCTAGCATCAGTTTGAAACTTGGATCCACAATTTTAAAGCAAGAAAGAAATCTCATCCTAGTTCCATCAGAGATCAGCTATCTAGAAATCAGGCCACAATCTATGCTTCTCAGAAGCAATGCAATTAGAAAGATATGGGCTGAAAAGAAGGAGACTTGAGCATTCTTTACTGAAAAGAACAACAAATATTCTGTAGGAGATCAGGGAAACCTACAGGCAGACCCACCTTCAGGATCAGTAGCAAAAACCTGTCTTCTTTCTGTAAGTGACAGCCACAATCTGAATACCCCAATGCCAGTATCACCAAAAAAACCTCAAACAAGATGCAAATCAGAACAAGTCCCAACCAAAAAAAATCCAGTCTACCCCCCAAATATATCCAAACACCATTTTGACTTTTTGACTCCACCAGAGATGTGCCAGAATTGCCATGAATTAAAGAATCGATGCTGCTACTGATATGATGTGGAGACTGCTCAAATATCAGCTGAACATTACCACTGTTGATTTCCTCTTTTATATTTTCAGTTCTTTAAAAACATAATCAAGCTGTTCACAAACAAAGCAAGGAAAATTGTAAAAGGCAGCAGCAAAAAGTGTTTTGCTGCTTTAGTACTTCAGACTTTGTCTAGCATCTACACAGCTATGTCAGCTCAGCTCACCCAAAGACCAGTGGTACCAGCTGACTTGAACTTTCCCATGCTCATGCTGAAGAATATCACGGAAGTAGCAGGTCCACTCAATCCAGTTATACTCAATTACTTTGCAACTATGAAAAGTAGGGCAAGGTTTCCAACTACAAAAATCACCTCAGCAGGGGAGTTACAGAAGAAATACAAGCTGAGCCTGCTCTCTGCCCCCACTAGAGGTGACACAATGACGATGGTGAGGCACATTCATAAAGCATTTTGCCAAAGTTTGGCAATGCAACTCACATTGACTTCAACGAACATAGAGTGAAAACAACGGGAAAAATTTGGAATGGATTACAAAATGTAAACAGTCATCATCAAAAACATTTTTATAATGAAACAGAATTATGGACACAATTCAAGAACATACCCAGACCAGACACAGGCCTAAATCAATCCCTACTCTGGAAAAATTTAAAAGTTAAATATATGGTTAAGCATTACTCAGAACAGAGATATTCACTGGCTATCAGCAGCAATTCATATTATCTGGCTGAAAAAAAATGCTATCATCAAAAGCTGTATTTCATTGCAGTATATCAGAGAATCATGATAGCTGGAAAGCTGTTGCTTTAAAACGTCATCTGTTAATGGCACAGAATTTTAATTATGTGATGTTCTCTAGGGCTACACACACTTACTGATAGAAAATTATTATCATATATGTATTATTTTACCTGGAATTTTATTTTTTGCCAAATGTGAGGCACAATAAACTGCTTCAAGAAGCGTTCATCTTCACTCCAGAACAGTCGGATGTCAGGGATATTGTACAGGATCATGGCCAGCCTCTCCAAACCCAAGCCAAATGCCCAGCCAATTTTATCCTGCGCACCAGCTGCAATAAACAAACAAACAAGATAAAAATTCAAAAGCTTAAGTTCACAACATAAAAAGTTGCTGATAAAATGTTCACCTATTTGCCAAAAAAAAAAAAGAAAAAGTGAAGTGGCAACACAGAAAAGTCTACAAGTAACTGCCAAATGAAAGATCTAAAGGTTACAGGAAAGATCCTACTTCCATGAAAAACTGCACCAAGACTGTGCATATCACCAAGTCCAGGGACCAAAAAGTGTTAAAATAAAGCTGCACCCTTGGCAATTTCTGTCCACAGTTTCAGGCAGACTTTGAGAAATGCTGCATAATGCATACATCACCTCCCTTTACCATCCTGAGAGCTGAGCACTTCCACACCTGACTCAGCTGCGTTTTATAAGACCTCTAAACATGGATTTCCTGTTCAGACTATTTTACCTTGGTTGACAGAGCAGGCCAAGCCTATGCAGCATTAACATTATTACTAACTTTTGAGAGGATCAAAATTGCCTCTTTTGAGGCATTTGGAAGAAACAGAGCAATGGGACGTGAGGCGCTGTCACATTAGCATCACACCTCCAACCAGGGAACTCCTGGGCTGCTGTCCCTGGGAAAAGCCACTGCTCCCACATACACAAGTCTCTTTTATGCAGCCCTAAGTATAAAAATACAATATTTAATACATAAGAGCCATGCAGATATCAATGATGCAACATTTCTGTCAGGAGAGTAAATATTCATACCTTCCTTCATTTACAGGGCAGGAGCACTGAGTCATTAAACAGGGATTTTTTCAACACCAGTAACCAACTCCACGTTTAGCCATCACCCTACTGATTTTGAAATAAGCTCAGAGCCCAGCAGCTTTGCAATGCCTCAGAGCTTTTTTAAACTTAACCGAATGTCTAAACAAGCACACTTACGCTGAAAGGGTAAGTACATGTGTGACAGACTTGACTCTTCACCATCAGCACTGGCAGTGTGCTCGTGAGTCATCACTGTACATCCCACAGCTATCCAGCTAAACCAAGGCCATACCTGCCTCCCCCGGTATTAAACCAATTTTTCGGAAACTTTGAACTCAGCAGCTTTCCCACCATCATGGAGGAGGCTGGAGGCAGGTCTACTTTCTGACCCCTGTCTTTGCTATCAGAAAGAAGATAGCTCCTGTTATTTGGGTGCTGATGACAACCTGAGGTTCAATGCTGAGATGAAACAGTCCAGAGTCCTGTTTAAACAGAGGCAGGCACAAAAAGCTTGGAAAAAAGAGTTGCAGTAATCACTCTGATTCTTTCAATTAATTTGAACCTCCCTATTTACCTTGAATACCAAGTCCTCAGCGGAACCTCTCTGTGCCTCATCTGGAACCTCAGTAGTATTGGGCTGCCACAGGAATTTGGTCAACTTCATAAGAGTGCTTCCCAGAGGAGTCTGGATATTCTGCTCTGTCCCTTCTCATGTGCTCATAGGCAAGATTTTGCACTTTCTGACCTTAGAAAGCAGACAGTTTATCCACTGAATTGTGCAAGTCCTGAGAAATAGAGGACCAGGTGTGAACTCCACAGATACCTCATGGCAGAGCTGCTCAAACTAGTACCCTTAGATCAGCCAACAGACCTTGAGCTAAGCTGACCCTGGAAACCTACAATCCATGCTACACTGCATGAAGAACTGCATGATTTGCTACTGTTGACTGAGCTATTCTTAGAGAAAGGATAGTAACTACATAGAATGTATTGAAATTTGTGTTTGGAAATATTTTGAGTTTTGACTTTAAACGTAAACCATAAATGGTTTCTTTTCCAAGCCAAAAGTACTATTTCTCTCCATAGTCCAGTATATGTAAATAATTATGTTTTTATGGCTATGGAGAAGGGAAGATAATTCATTGCAATGGTTTTGCTTCCCCAGACTTCCAGGTTGTCTTTCTTAGATCATCAACTCCTCCCTCAGTAGCAAAGCTGCTATTCATTTCAAAAGTGCCAGACTTTCACGTATGTATGGATATTTCTGTAAAATGGTTAACACAATCCACCCCTTCCTCCAGAGGTAAAGTAGAGCACCCAAAGCAACATCCATGAGAGTTCTGAACAGCCACTGCTTAATCTTAACAGAGGCATAAAACCTGAAACCTAAAGATGTCAGGTTAACCATCAGTGTTAATTTAGTCACTGACACTTATTTAAGTATACAAGATATGGGGTGAAGATCCTCCTTTCCCACATTACTGATGACAACTGGTAGACTGGACAGGACAAAAAAAGGATATGAAAGGAGAGGAGCAGAATGGGTATATATTCTGTCAAGCAGAGCTTTACATTTAAGATTTCTGCTTTTTTAATAGTTTGATATAAGAATGGTTTTAGTTGTAACTCTTTTCCTCACACTTTATACCTTATAGATTGCTATGCACTTTAATTCTGCAATGAATCAATTAATGTTTTGATTTTATATCAACAGTTTATTTTTGTTTGTTTGGGGGTTTTTTGTGGGGTTTTTTGGGGGGGGTTGCTTTTTTGTTTTAGAAGGACTGGGACACATCACAGATTTTTGCACTATGTAGCAGACAAAAAATTTCTTTACCCAGCTATCTGCTTAGCAGCTCATAGCCCTGTCATCTGAGCTATGAATAAACACCTAGTCGCAGAACTTGTCTTTTGGATGATCCTCACACAATTATCAGCCTTCAGACCACAAACTTGTCAAGTGTCCACAGTCAAAGCCATAGCAGTGACGAATACCCTCTAGACAGAGAGGGAAAAAAAAAAAAAGGGAAATTCAGTTAATTAGAATTCCTCCTCAAATCAGCACTGGCAAATCTCTACTGCACTCCACATCTTCAGTTATTTTGTCTCTGATCTCTTCTCCAAGTTCCTATTTATAAAGCCTCAAGTCAATGTAGTGTTGACTGAAAGCATCTGAAGAGCTACCTTGGGGAACTCAACCAAGACTAAAGCACGCTTCTAATCACATTTCTGACTGGAAATGACCAGGTGGCTTAGCAGTTAAACGGGTAGCTAACCACCCTGTTGAGTAAGAAAGCAACCCAAAGCTTTTCATGGAACATATATATGTTTAAGTACACCAAATTTTGGCAAGTAGTATGTGAAGAAGTCAACTGAATGTGAGTCAATATGATAGAAAGAATGAACACAGAATAGAGATGAGGAGATCTGGCCAGAGAGGCAGATTCCAGGGACCTGGTGGGGAAATCGTAGCATCACTGCTTGAAATAACACAGCCCAATGGATAAAGATTTCCTGACATACGAGCTTTCCCCAATTGGCCCTCAAGGGTTTTTACGCTGCCAGGCTCCTGCTGTCTCACATGAAAAATTGACTACCCACCAGAAGAAAATTGCTGGAAGCTTTGCATGTCAGGTAGCCAAAGGTGGAAAAGGAAAGGATAAAACAGTTTGACTGGCTTCCCACACTGGGGGCTGAGACAGTCCGATCTGACTCCAGAAGGTTGGATCACTGCAGCTGTGACTTACAGGGGAGCTCAAGCGTCCTTTTCTTCCTTGAGAAGTCACATCTATCTGTCCTGCTCTTCAGCTCTGAGCCCAGATGAATCACTTTACACTTAAATGTAGACCAATCAAGCCATTCTCCAAAAACCATCATTAAATAAAAGCTAATTTTGATCAGCCAGGATGGGAAGCTTGGTAATTACTCACTGAGGCATATATAATGAGCCACCAGAACTCAGGGATTATATCCCACTGAATCCTCAGAAATACCCACAGACAGAAACGTTTACCTTTTCAAGCAGTGTGAGGCAAGACATTTTGCACTGTAGAAGATTTTTAAGGCATATTTTGCAACGTAATGCTAGAAAGAGATTAACAAAACTTTTTTGTTATACACTTCAGTCACATTTTTATATGTATGCTGGCTTTTATTTAACAATTTTCGCTACTCCTGTAAAGCTGCCAATAAAGAAATATTTCTTTCAATAGACCCTGAATCAGGTCTTCAAATTGTTATACTCAGCAGTTACTGAGAAGCAAAAGAAATTAAATTTTGATCTTGGATTGAGGCAAAGTCAGGAGCATACAACAGCCTTCATACAAGGTGTTCACCAAAAGCCCAAAAATTAATATACCCAAAGTGCGTGTAGCTAAAAGCTGGGATGAGTTCCAGAAGCAAAGACCTGAATTTGATCTCCTGCTTTCAGTCCAAACTACGGCTGTTAATGGAGCAAATTCAGGAATTAAAATGGTGGGACAAGGGGTGAACAGATTCTCAAGGATACATAGACTAATCATCATCTTTTATGAAACAAAACAGTGTTTTAAACGGTCTAGAAAGTAAGTTATTGACATAATGAATATGTGACTTGACACAAAACATCAGAAATTCCTGAAACAAAGACCTATGCCCACACTGGAGCTCTACATGATTAATGGACAGCTTATGAACAAGGCTTTAAAAAACAGCTTCTGCACAATAAATATTTCCTTATCACTACAGACTAGGAATGCATATTCTACATAAGGGCCACAGCAATGAGGTAAACCTTGTTTACCCCTGTAAAAAATAAGCCATTTAAAATTATTTCCTCCCATATGTTTGGAGTCAAAGGCTTTACGTGGAAAAAAATTACTAAGGCATCAGTCTAACACAGAAGAACTTCTGAAAGTGCAAGGTCAAGTGGCTGGGATGTTAAGCAACTGAGGCCGAAAAGCTTACTGAAGTTTACTTCTGAACTGCTCTCTTCAGCAAAAGCAAAAATCAAAACTGTCATATTATTCCCTAACTCTGTTAAATTGATGCATTCAGGCTCCTGTGTGCAATTCAGTTTAAATTACCTCCTAAAATAAGGACATGGCTTTCAGAGTATACATGCTAAGTAAGCCACTCCTCAAGAACTCAAGAGAAGAAGTAAACATTCAATTAGCCTATTCTGTGGAAAAATAAGTTATCTTTCTAAATCTCATATGTGGAATAATTTTCTAACAATAATAGTCACTCTGAGACTACAGCTTTGTCTCCTGGATCAGACTGATCTGTTCTCTTTGCT